AAAATGCTTCATATATCAAAAATAAATTGAACTTGACATTGTAGCCTAAATGCTTTGAAATTAAATTTGGTTATATTTCTTTGAGAACCTCCTGCCGTTTCAGACGTTCCCTCTTCAGCACGTCTTTTAGGAGCGGGAGCTCAGCTGTGGACTGAGCTCCTGGGAGGAGCTTTGTGTAAATAGGCTGAGCTTTTATACCAGCAAGCGTTTAGCAGAGTTGTAAAGTAACTAAGTACAAATACTTTGTTACTGTACTTCAGTAGAATTTTTGGTTATCTGTGCTTTACTTGAGTAATTATTTTTTCAGCGTACTTTTTTACTTTTACTCATTACATTTTTACACAGTTTTCTGTACTTTCTACTCACTACATTTTTTTAAAAAGGCAAGAAGTAGAAAGTTACTCCTATTTTATTCCTAGTTTTTATTACTTAAAAAAATACTACCCTGAAAAATTGTGTCTCCTGGATAGAGTGAATTTAATTGTGGTTGGATGAGAAGTATAAATATTTCCCATTCTGACACCCTATTGGCTTGTACACAACCCATCATAGATGCACGCTGTTAGAAAATATTTTTTTGGAGAAGTCACCTCCCAATAAATGTCATTTTGGAAAATCTAACTGCTCACTTTTACTCAGTACTTTTACTTTTAATACTTAAGTAGATTTTGTGTCAGAAAGTTACTTTTGATAGTTAAGTACAAAAAAAATCTGATACTTTTAAGACTTTTACTCAAGTAATATTTTTAGAGAAGACTTTAACTTTTCCCAAAGTATTTATTTTTATGATAAGATACTTGTACTTTTACTCAAGTATCACTTTGAGGTACTTTATACAAGACTGGCGTTTAGGCAGCTCCACATGGCTACTATAGGAGACTAATGAGTTTTAAACATGCATGAATGAGTCAAAGCAACAATCTGGGTATGTTTTTTGATGAGGGATTGACATGAAATGATATGAAGTTTTAAAAAAAGTTGATTTTGTTTAATACCCCCAAACTATGAAATCAAACATGGTTACCTTGAAATACAGTATAACAAATGGTTCAGTTTAAAAGAGCTTACTCCAGTAGTTTACAGATGCACGTTCACTGTAAACAAAACACTTGATTCCACATACTTTGTCTGATAAATTTGATTTAAATGCGTTCCAGCACATCAAATTTATTGAACCTCTGTGGTTGATTATAATCTTTTTTTAAATCACCTGCAAAAACTCCATTTCCTTCAACCTTCTTTTATTGAGATGACAGTTTGGATTTGAGTTCCTTTACACAGTAATGGTCATTTACAGTGAAACTATTACAAAAACAGAAATAAAAAATGTTTAAAAACAACATTTTTAAGTACTTATTTCAGACAGTTTGGTGTACAGAGAAATTGGTGCTGTTATAACATGCCTGCTGTTCTTTGGTGCCTTTCTGTTTGGTCTCATACATCGCTGCGRTTTTATTTTTGTGACTGTTTTACTCTGTTACCTGCATGTGCTTCTGTAGAGTACAGATAAGAATTACACCCAAAACATTAATGAATATAAAATYGATTATTCACCTGTTTAGGTTTGTATTTTCTAGCATACAATAGAAAGAAGTGAGCAGACACCTTGGCAGAGGTCATCTCCAGCTGACTACCGGCCTCTACTGGTCACATCCTTCACTGAATAACACCAATCCTCATTGGTGTTGGTGCACAACAAGTGGGTAGAATAACTGGCATCAGTGCACATTTATATTTATATTTTTGTATCTTAGTGGGCGAACTATGAATGCACAAACATCCAGTCAGTCACACAGACACACTCCAGGGACCACATGTGAATTATGTGAGATGCAATAATATGACACTGCTATGCTGAATGTTTACAGTCCAACAAATCTGGTGAGATGAATACATTTAAATCGATGTAGAATCAACAGCAAAGCACATCTGATCCACATTCTTTTTTCCAACTAAATTTGCGGTGATTGTTCACGTTGAAAACAAAACAAAAAACACATGGTTTTGTGTCACAAATCAGCAGTTTCACTCTGTTCGTTCACCTTTCGTTGTCAATCATCTCATTACATCACATTTCCAAAAATAGATCCTTCCAATGCCAGTTTTGAAATCTGTACAGGTTCATACATTATTAGTCGTGTCTTTACAGTAACTGCATTTTTTTTTACATGTACTGTACATTCTTTCACTATACAATGTTGCACAGCCTGCCCATCTGTAATGGAAGAAAACCAACAATGTTCTGAAGGTGTAACATTACTACAGAGAGCAAGTTCTGTGCTGTCTTTAACCTGAGCGATCTAAAAAGCTATTATGAACGGTTCTTCTATGGTAAAACCACCAGAGCATCTCAGACATTACAGAGTCAAAGAATTTACATTCAAAACACTCCCTTTGTTATGTATAAACCCTAGAAATTAGTCATTCAACAGATTATTCACAGGATCACGTTGTACACCCAYTACATCCTATTCGCTATTGTACATTTGCAAATTAAATGAACAAACCTTAATATTATTAGTGACTGGAAGAAGCTCATTTTATTGCATGTTCCTGCAAAGTGCGCTCATGCTCTACATATATGCATAGCTAATATGTCGAAAATGTATTGAAACATTTTTTTTTTCACAAACACAATAGTTCTTTATAGTGTCAAGAAGAGCTGCAATAACTGATGATAGCTCTATGCTTAAGTTGGTACACACAATTTTTATCCAGCCAGTAAAGATCACTTTCTTGGACTAAAGCCAGATTTTTTTTATTATTCTTATTATTTATAAAAGCAGCTAACCAAGAAGCAGCAACAATGACCTTGAGGTCAGCTACGATCCTTTAGTGATAAGCAACATATTCTAGCAGTGTCAGAAGTAAAAGATCAGCTTTATTGTGGTCCACTGTACGTATGTCATCTTGGATGTGTTGATGCTTCTCATTTGGCCGTAGGGAGCAGCTGTTCCCTGAAATTTGTTTCTTGTGCAGGATTGTGGAAGCACTGATTCTCTTCTTGTAATTCTGTCATGAAGGAGTCAAATACTCTGTAGCACCAAGCTGACGGCGGCTTGACTGTAAAATAAGCAACCAGAATGAACGAGAACTCGAGGGATTTGGGTCACTCTGTCCCTGGAAAGATGATCGGTTTGACTTTTCTGTTTATCCTGTGTTACATCAACAGTTTGCAAACAGCCAACTCAGTGTCTGAGGTACTTTATCTTCACATTCTTACTGCCAAAGCCTCAGCAATATGTTAAATCAGAGCATATTACTTAGAAAAGCTATCTATTAACACTATGGAAATTCTGAACCACTTACAAGAGCCATTCTGTATAGTTAATGCACCATTARAGGCTGGGACACTGCAGAAAGCAAATATGCCTTTAACAATCTTTTAATGCCTCATTTTAAAGCTTGTRAGCATGTTCTGTTATCAGTTGTTAGTGRTCGTGAGCACCATTAGTCTTTTTTAGCATTTTTGTCACTGTTTTTTTAAGCAGCACCCTTAGATGTATTGAATTTATGTATTCAAATTCATAACTGAATTAGTGATTTTAAAAATGGCTAATGTGAGATTGTCCATAATATATATATTTTAGATGACAACCTCTCTATACAGAAATCTATGGATGAATTTCATTCATCTCAAAAGTGGCTCAGAAAATGAAATCAATCAGTAAAAGCCTTAATACCTCAAAATGTTTTAATTAAATGTTCGTTAAATCTTTTTTTTCTCTCCTTCCACAGTGTCCAATTTAAACTATCTGATTATGCTTTCAGATCAAGCTTGCTCAGATGAGGCACTTCAGTTTTTCACCCTGCAGTACAGTGTGAGACTTGTTGGCTGCAACGCGGGGCTTGATTTCCACTTTGAACCCAGCAAAACTTGAACATATTCTAACAAATAGTAAAGCAAAGTACCAGGCGTCATGTGCCACTCAACCGTGATAAGGAACACAAAAGTGTTTAGAAAACAAGAAAACCAAATCATTAGAAAACTTACTAAAAGTATCTGTGTTTGTTTTTTTGTTGATGTTTTTTTAAGTGCTAACTCCACCAATCCATGTTAAACTCCACCCATTGTCCCTTAGGTCCTGGGATATTAGCCACTCCTGAATTCCTCTTCAATCTCTGGAAAGCTCTTTTTCTCTCTCCTCAGGGTCTCGGTCAAAGGCCTGGCGCTGCTGGGAGATTCCAAGTTTTTGGGTTCATTGGTTAGGTAGCTTCCCTTCTGCTGATAAGCATAGACGTAGATGCTGTACAGGCCTCCAAAGAGCAGCAGCAGCGCCACAATGACAATAACTGTGGATAAAAATAGCACAGTCAGGCAAGGGAGGAAACGTGCTCCTTAAAATACAGATGAGGAGCAGGCAGTGTCTGGACACTTTTTTCTTATTTATTAATTTTTTTTGTAGGGAATTGATTCATTTTCTTAGTAAAGAAATTTAGAAGGGTACCAGTGTAGCAACCACCCAAAAATCCATCAACTAATCTAAACYACACAAAAAATAAAATGAAAAATGCCTTTATCATGATGTAAGAGCTGTACAAAAAGTGCAAAAAGAACAGAGTAAAATATACAGTATGTTAAAACTGCTGTCAGTGCTCATTCAGGTTCCAATGGGAACTGCACCTCTGTGTCTCACTCCCTGATGTTAGCAAGGCTGACAGATATTTTGTCTCTGTGTGACATACGGTTACCACTGTGGTGTAGAATTTGAATAGGACATTTTTTTCAAAGCTGTGTGACAAGAAATAAGATATAAAATATCAATAAGAATACTTCAATACATTAACACAGGCACCCTCAATACCAGCAGACATGCCTAAAGTCTGCAATTTCTTCAAAGTGCTCAGCATCAGCAATCAGAGGCTGCAAATTATTTAAAATATTAGCAAAAATAAGATCTTGAGATTTATAGTGGGTTAGTGTAAAAATCTAAACTGTTGGATAAGAATAATTGAATGCAATCCATTCAAATTTAGACATGGTTTTGACAGTGGCGGATCTAGAATTTTTCTGAGTAAGGGGCCATAAAGGGGGCACAATACTGGGTGCCAAGTCTTTGTTCAACATCCTTTCACACAAATTCCCAGTGTATACATTTTACACTTCAAACACTTGTAATGGAATGTTTTTTAAAAGGTACCACTTTACAATAAGGCCCCCCTTATAGATGGCTTTTAAAGAGTTTATAGATAGGTTATATAAACACTTTGAAATTATTAATAAGTGTTTATTATGCAATAATTAAGGACGAGAAAGAGACAAAATTGTCCACTTTCATTAATTAATGATTTGTGAAGTGTAAACTTTACAAATGAATTAATAACCTATCTATAAACTCTTTACAAGCCATCTATAAGAGGAGCTTGATTGTAAAGTGGTACCAAAAATCTTGCACAGTAAATTCTCCTCACCAGTTTTTCATACATTTTACTGTACAWAGATACCGTGAAATATTTTCAAACACACATGTGAGAAAATCCAGCCATCATTTGTCAGCTGAAAGACTTTTTTGCTGGATTGTTCACATTTTACGAAGAGAAGAATTCTGTCAGCTTTATTCTTTCTGGACTTTACTATTTGACTCATTAGCGCCTCTAGTGTTTGAACATGGAACTGCATCCACCATCATCACTCCCAGGTAAAGGACAGATGAGTGACTGAACAGGCGCACTTCAAGGGGCCAATCAGATTTCAGCTGGGGCCAATGCCCCTGTGGCCCCGCCCCTAGAACCACCCCTGGTCTTGAAGAGGAGGGACCCGATAGACATCAACACCATAGAGTCTCTTATGGCATAACGGCAGTCTCTAATGATGACTCTCTAATGGCAGTCTCATAACTCTTTTATGGCACGTGTTTGGGTTTTCTTTTTTCACCTTGAAAACCAGAGGAAAAAAAATCATCCAATTTTCAGTTGGTGTGTGTTTGCTGATCATTCAGGATGTTCATCATGTAACAGAATGAGGAAAAGTCTATAACAAGCTTTTTTTTCCCCTCTGCATTGCAAATATACTCAGAAAGGGGAAAACCAATGAAGACCTATTGATTTACTGTTTGTTTCATTTTTCTCAATTTCCTATAATAGGTACAAGTGACAGCACAAATGTAATTAAACCTGCCTTTTCAGTTTGATCGAACAGGCTCACATCAGCACGACTGCTCATTTTACATCTATTTAAAACAAAAGCAGAGTGATTTCTCTATCATGTAATGTCTGCAGTGTCAATTATGGCTGCTGTCTTGTTGAGATGCCTGAATGGCACACTGATTTTAATGGCATGCTGATGCCCTACCGTCCCCGAGACTGAGTGCTCTATGAAGTTAAGTATCTATCAGTGATGAACAGCAAGCTGCACCCATYCAGACTAAATATAGCTGATCCGGTAAAGGTCTCAGACAGAGATGGATCAGGTGGGGGGGATGATGGGATGTCTATGCTGCTGTTTAATCCTGAGTAATCAGTCTTCCTGACTTAACAGGAAAAAGTGATCTAATTTTTCCTTCATTATCTGTAATTCTGTGCTGTAGCATTTTTATTATTATTATCTATTTGCAGCTTGTTATCTAATTCTCTCGTGATTGAGGAACAGCGTAATGCGGATTACTCCATTTCAGAAATGTGAAATACTGACATAAAAGATAATCAGGTTAAATGTAAGAATATGACAAATTATCCTTAAATTTATACAACTGATAAAAGTTATTTTACTCAAAATGCAATAATCACTCATCACAACACTAATAAATTATAAGAAAAATGAATCACATTATAATTTCAATTTTTTTTTTTTTTTTTTTTTTTTTTTTTTTTTACTTTTGTATGCAAAAAGGATCGTCTTGTTTTATATTTCTTGTTTTGGTGCCTAAGTAAAAAACAATCAAGCCCTGCAGTCAGATGTTTAATAAAAGCACTTGAAAGCTTGCTTAGAGTCTGACAATCCAACAGGATTAAAGGATAATAAGAAAAAGACTCAATCTGTGTTGTCTGGAACATGCTGAGTTTTAAGCAGAAGTGAGAGGAAAGAACATCATGAAATTATCACAATAATGGTTTTATCTTTAAAGAGAGCAATTTACTGACAAGCTAGATACGAGAAATTTAAAAATATGGTTCAGTGTCTAATTTTTAAAAATATCAAAATTAATCTTACCTGTTATCCAAATCAAGCCTAGGTCATCATGAATGTAAAAGTATTCTGTATAAAAAACAGTTACAGTCAATGGATTAATGTGGCTCATTTTGCTTTAATCTACAGCAAACAAGCATGATGGATGTTGTAAAACTCACCTATGCCAGTGAACCAGGGATCGACTTCCCAAGGCACATAACCCAGTACAGGAGGAAACGCCCCACAGTTCGACTCCGAGACATGACCTTGTGTTGTGACCGGAGGGTTCGTCACGTTCGGACGGAAGTAGGCCTTCAGCGGGGCGTAGACATTGTATCTCACTCCAGATATGCATCCTATGAAACCTGGGGCATTGTGCCTCTGGATTTCATAGTCAATGTCACCAACCTCTGAAGAAAAGCACACAAACAATGGAAGTCATTGTCTGATTAAATAACTTCAGCTGAGATTAAAACCATGAATGGTCTGATGAGTCAAACTTTTACCCATCACTCTGCCCAGGAACATGGATTTTGGAGAGTCGAATCTGGCGTCCTCAACTAGTGTTATCTTCTCCACTATGGGTTCCATGTAGTCTACCTGAGAGTACAGAAACATTTGGTCTAAAATTCAGAAAGATTTTTGAGTAAATTGTTCAGTGCGTAGCTTAAACAGTGAGAGCAAGAACCTGTGTTTTGATGGTTCTGTTGTGCCTGGTTATGTTTACATAGTGAGGATATCCATCTGCCAGGTTTCTGTGAGTCAGCTGGTACTTGTGTGTTATGAGCCCCAGCCTATATCTCAGATCTACACTACCTGAGGAAAAAAAGAGGCAATGAAACATCACTGACATGTTCTGCCATATTTGTGAATCTTGAATCAGTTAATGGAGTCAGTACTCTCCGCCAAACTGAAGCACTCGGCAGCAAAAGGTTCGATTTTATTTTTCTCGTCAGAACAATTTTTCTTTGCTTCACTTACCATCGTATTTGAGGATGACAGCGATGTAGTCTTGAACGAAAGAACTGATGTAGAGTAACACAGCTGGTGTGTGAACAGTGCTAAAACTAAACTCTATGTCATCAGCCGTGTCGTTGTAGCCGAGGCTGAAGTTATCATAATGCGGATCAATCCAGTTTGCCCACGCAGCCTCATCCGATATGGGCTTTTTTAGTATGTTGTATTTCAACCACGATCCAATTTCAAAGTAAGCTCCAATGTCTTCAAAAAAAATAAAATAAAATCATTGTGGTGTTAGATATTTGAAATCAGGCTATTTTAGAACTTTGTATTGAACATGAGCTCACCTTTATGGCAGTAGAACCCATCAAAGGCTGTATTGTTACAGTCACAAGTGTAGGATGCGTATCCCTCAATACACTGACCACTGTTTCGACATGGAATGGTGGCATTGAGGCACTCTCCAGTGCAGTTCCTCCGTATGCCCTGTTCTTCATTTACCTTCGCTTCCAAATCAATAGGAACACCATTCATACGCAATCCTCGAAGACACCCTAAGAAGGGCCTGAGAGTGCGGTTAGCTGCACCTAATGACGAAAAACATCAGTTGTTCCAAAACACTTGAGAGAGAACATACTGGACACTGACGTTACAAAATACTTCGAAGGCGACCTACCGACAAGAAGAGGATGTGTGAACTTCATGGTGACAAAGGTCTGGCCTGGTAAACGTTTGACAGTCCAAGGCTGATAATCGACCTTGATCCTGGCTAATTTCACATTAAGCTCAGCCTGAACGAAATGCCACTCGTTGTCGTTGAGTGGTACAGGGGAGCGAAGGGTCACATTAAGGATGCCGTCTCCAACCATGAATATAAACGCAAGATTGTGGGTGGCTAGAAGAATAAAAACAGGGAGAGATTTTAAAACGTGAGTGAGTGAGATCGCCCTAAAACTGTAGGTGAGGGAAAACTTACTGTTCAGTTCTATCCTTATAAAGTTTCTGAGTTGTTCATCGGAGTTTTCCAGGAAGACGCCATGGTCACGATATGTTTTGAAGTGGAAGGAGATGTCAGCAGTTGAGCCGGGCCTGAAAGTTGGGAACGTGATGTAGGTTGGCTTGGTGAAGGCTATCGTGTTCCAAATACTTCCTGTGGAGGAGATTAAAATGCATTTAATGTAAAGACATAAGCACAAATACATCCCTGTCTTAATTCAGTCAATTTAAATGTTGCTCACTGTCCCCATGGCAGCGGAGAGGCCCAACTGTGACTTGTGCTTCTGACCCGGTCCTGTTGGTGTCCCCCACCACCACCCTCCTCACAGGTAGGTGGTCTCTGAAGTCCAAATAACCTTTATCAGAATACCTAAACATCCACACGGAACACAACATTAACATCAGTGAGAGACACGAGTTAAATGTGCCTGTTATGTCCATTTTTACCATTGTCTATAGTCAGCGTCACAGTTGCACTGGAACTTTGGATCGACACAGGTTTGATTAATTGCACAGCCACATTTCTGAACTTCTCTGAATGTCCCACCCCAGTAATAGTGACTCTCGTTGTTGCGACCAATCCAATAACCGAATGGTCTTCCGTCTGTTTTGGAAAACAAATCGTACAGCATTTCAAACTTTCACAATGAGGATCAGCAGGACCACCGGATCAGAAACTGATCCCACTCACTGGGGGTGTTGAGGAGACGAGACTTGTAGCAGGAGTAGTCGATCCACTGCTCACAATACATGGAGGTGTTGGCGAGAGCAGTGACTTCATCCCAGGAGGCGTTCCAGTAGTGTACATCCACTATAGACGGGCGGTCTATTGAGCTCCCAGACACTTTGGTACCTTCCACTCGATCATGCATAATCACAGTCCAGGCTTTATATGCTGCAAAGACATTTGACAAATGTACTTTAGAAGCAAAATATATTCAAATAGGACAATAAGATATAATAAAAAGGTTAAAAAACAATTACATCCTTCCACATCACCTGCCCCTTTTCATTCCAGAGCTTTAGACTAAAATCCATTAAAGGGGCAATATGTGTTTCTCAGGCATATATTTAAATTCTATACCATAATAAAGTAACTATGTCACCTTCAGTTGTTATTAACACGTTGTTCATATGTTTAGATAGAAAAAAAAGTGACTTCTCATCATTTGTTTCAAAATGCCTTGGAATTAGCCTCTGTCTCTTTAAGAACCTCCCTCTGCTTCGGTCCCGCCCATTTCAGCACAGGTCAGGTGGGTGTGTGTGCTCTGTGATGAGGACACAGCCCAGAGGAGGAGCTGATCCCAAAAGGCGGTTCTAGTCCCAAACAGTCGTTTTTACTCCCCTGCCTGGCTGCCTCAGGACACTACAGAATTTCTCAAACATGCATGAATGAGTCAAAGAAAGACTCTGGGCATGTTTTTGACGAGAGGATAAGATTATAACATGATATAAAACTCAAAAAAGTTGATTTTACATGATATTGCCCCTTTAAAATTTAAAGTGGTTCATTAAATATTTTGCTAACAAACAAAACAAAGCTGACTTCAACAGTTTATGCCAAAGTTTCAAGCAAAGGCCTCTCACAATAAAACATTTAAGACAAATTTAGACAAAATCACTGATAATCCTGTTATCGCTGTTTTTAGCCTCAGCAGGATCATTTGTTTCTCCACAACTAAACACAAGGCTGATAAATGCTGATTGGTAAGGATACTGTTTACTTACACTTCATTTTGCAGTACACTTCAAAGGGTTTCAGCGGCCCACTGAGATCAGGATCAATGGTGTAGTTTCCAGACCAATATTTCCCACTTAGCCTGTAGGCCTCACAAGACTCTTTATAAACAGCTGAAAGGAGCAATTTGTTGTTATTAATAAAAAAAAAGAGCTCCAAAGGTCATATAAAAATGAACTAGGAAGCTATAGATGAGATTGTTAGTCTGTTCTTACACATGTGACACACTTCTCCTTTGTAGCCTGTATTCTCACACAGACAGATGAAGTCATCCCAGGACTGAATGCATCTGCCCTCGTGTTCGCATGGATTGGGAGTACATCTACAAATGAAAACAAGATTTTATATTTAATAACTGTTTCTGTATCCTGTGATATTTTCACAAAGTTTCACATGTATTTGCTGTTTTGGATTTATCAGTGCATTTCTCACCTGTCAGTGATTCCACAGGTACCTAACAGCAGCTCCTCGTAACGTGCCCACTGTCGCTGCAGAGTAATGTCAATGTCAAGTTGTTCATTGTCGATGAAGATATGTTGCATGCAGCCATGGAAGCGATTCAGTTTGGTTTCACACTTGAATGCTGTATTATTGGTTTTTGGACAACCTAAATGCAGGAAAACAAAATTTTGATKATTTGAGGAGCACACGTTTGGGTGGGTTAGGTGTTCTTCTGAAGTGGCCTGATTAATAAACTCACCTCCAAAAAAGTAGCGATCACTAGTTCGGATGGTAAATGGGTTGGTGATCTTCAGTGGGGAGCCTTCCTCTTCATCAATGGTGAGGGTCAGCAGGTTGTCTCTGGCTGCCAAATCCACTGAATGCCAGTAACCATCATTTAGCCTGTACCCTAAAAGTCAAGACAAAGTCTGTAGTGATGCATGATTATTAAAAATGCATTATCAGTTTCTGACATATAAAGCCAGGCAACTAGTTGAATTTCAGTTACCTACAGCAGATGCATGAAATCATTGAGTTTCTGCCATGTGATTGGCCGATTAGCTATTTGTGTTAAAAAGCTGTTGAACAGGTGGCCTGTATTAGTCAGGATCTAATTACTGTGCAGCTAATATAAAACAACTAGTTAAAACTTTCCAATATCCCCAAACTTTCATTCTCATGCCTAAACCTCACCTGCAGCGAACTGTAGCTTCTTTTTTCCCGTCTGGAAGATGGTTACATTGATCTGACCCTCGCTCAGACCCAGCTCAAGGGCGCCCAGGTTGTCAGCAAAGCGTGTGAACATCAGCAGCCCGGTGTAATCCCACGAGCGGAACTTAAATTTAACAAACATGCGAGGCCTGCCGATGAACCCAGGCACTTGCAAGAAGTTGTTGGGTCCGGCAAAGGTCATTGGTTTAAGCAGAATGTCACGGCAAGCAAAGTGCATTTTTTTCTGTATAGAAAGGAAAATAGACCTCTTTAGCGATAGGGAATCATATTATGGTGGGCAATCACTAAAAACAACTTACATTTCGGGGAATACGAATGTCAGGTTCCTCTCTCTTTGCCTTGTCGATGATATTGATGCCGTTAATGAAGACATTCTCAAGACATCCTCGGAAGTTTGGTATAGTAGGGAGGTGAGGCAGGTTTGGCTCTATTACTCCTCCGACATACATCTAAATGATAATTATTTAGACATTTAATTATTACCTCAATGCTTAATCACACATTTAGAGACATTGATATAATAATCTTTGATATTTACCTGTGTGTTTAGATCCAGGTGAGTAAATTCTCCTTTGCAAATGGCTGTCACTGTCTGACTATCCACTGTAAAGTTGACCTGTCGACCGTAGCGCTTGATAGTGACATAGTGCCAGTGCAGATTGTCAAGGAGACTTCCTGCAGTCAGAGTAATTCTGCCGTCAACCTGGTGTATCACGCTGCTTCCTGAAGAACAAAATCAAACAGAGGAGGACTTAAAATCAGAAATAGATTAACTTACTGAAAAGAAAATCCTTTATTTTCCTCACAGACCTTTTTTTTTTTTTACAAATTGAAATAACCCTGCTTTAAATATTTTATTTTCCCATTTGAGCCAAAGCAGCCTGTTGCTAAAGTAAATGCTAAGGGCACCATCCCTCTAGGGGGGTGCCACAAATGGMGCCAAAAACAATTTTATATAACTTTTTTTTATCAGAGTATAGCTTGTTATTATGTAGAATAATCACTTTTTTACTCATGTTTAAGGGTTTCTCGGCCTGCTTTGTTACTGCATGAGGTGTTCTGTGGTATCATATGAGGCAGTCAAGACTAACTACTGAGGTTTCAGTTCTGATCTCAGATAAATTTCAAGTTAAAGTCTGGTTTTCAGTGTTCTACCTTCATAAAATACTGATTTTGTGTTGTTTTATTGAGCCCAAGAATTTAGCGAAACGCTTTTCAAGTGGCTGGAAAATGGATCGTCTTAAGTAGATCTTTTACAAAATTTTCAGATCTTCCCCTGGACCCCCCTAGAACTGCTTCATTCCACAGTTGCTCGTTAACATGCACAGGTGTTCCTCGTTACTGTCAGCAGATGTCAGCAGGTATGAGATAGACTTCTGGTATTCTGTTCCAAATGAATTATATTGTATTTTAAATGGACAACCTAGATCCTACAGATAAAAAAATA